GGACACAAGAGGACTTGGAAAATGCTATTCTGAGACTTAGTTTTCTGCCCTCCGTGAAGTGTGGTCATCACCCACAGCCAAGGCAGTGACCTTTAACCTGTGACACTGGGACAGTTTGCAGGAAAATTTGAAGCTTCTTTCTTAGTGAGCACGTTACCTGTGGCATGTGCTCTAGGGCGTATCAGCAGTGCTCCCATCCCCCACTGTGAGGTGAGACCCCTGCAGACTCCAGAAGTGGTCTGGGCTCCCCCTCTGAGCAGGTCAAGGGGGCTGTGAGCAGATCCACGTTCTCAGGGTGAAACAGGCTAACGAGGACATTTCCCAGGAGAATGGTCAGCTGTTTGGTAGGTGAGTTCAGGCTGACTCTGCTCAAGTTGGATGTTTCTTTGCATGTCCCTCAATTCTGCTCAGAAACAGCAGGCTTCGAGTCTCTTTAGGTGTGTGTGTGTGTGTGTGTGTGTGTGTGTGTGTGTGTATGTCCGAGTGTGCACATGAGTATAAGTATGAGTGTGTGTGAGAATATGGGTATGCATGGGTTTGCATAGGTGTGGGAGGGTGTGTATGCATAAATGGATATGTGTGTGCGTGGGGTATGAATGGATGTGTATGCATGGGGTTTGCATTGGTGTGCATGTGCATGGTGTGGGAGGGTGTGTGTGTGTGTGTGTGTGTGTGTGTGTATGGGTGTGTGTGTGTGGGGGGGTGGGAGTCACTTTGTGGGGAGAAGTGAGGAGGAAAGTGCCTTCTGTGGAGAGAGTGTTTCTGAGACTCTCCTCAGAGTTGACAAAGCAGCCCCGGCTGGGTTAGTTTTCAAGGGTCAGGGAAAGGCCAGTCTATTTACACACCTTAGCTGAGGAGCACGGAGGGGTGGTGATGGGGGCTGGGATTAATGAGCAGTTTTATTGCCTCGCTTGTCAGGAGGGTCATGTGATATTATTTTGATACGGGGGCCTCAAAAGCAAACACACAGGCCAGGCTATACATGGAAGTAAAGGGGGCCTCACCCTGGCCATTGAGCATTTTTCTTTCTTCTCAGTCCAGGTGAGTGGGGTGTGTGTGAGGGGTAGGACCCTCCTCCCACTGCCAGTGCCTGCAGGCCGGTCACGCCAAGTGGCACCAAGGCCAGCTCCCAAGATAATGTTAGCATGTGGCGCCCGGCAGTGAACATTTAACATCCCAGTTGGTAATGAATACACTGCCAGGCCACCTCCCACCCACTGCTGTCTCTGAGAGGGGAGAGCGGAACAGCTTGGGGTGAGTGTGCAGCCCAGTGATGTACCGGGGAACAGAGCAGTGCCTGTGCCAGCACTGACTGGCTGGGTCAGACTCCCACCTCCTCCAGAGACCTGTGCGAGCACAGAGCAGTCCTAGGACTGGGCAGGGGCGGATGAGAGGGAAATTACTGCCCATCTCTGGTTTCTTTTCTGCTTTTGCCTTCTTTTCCCTGTTGGGGGTAACTGTAGGTGGGACCAGGCACCTGACCCTGAGCAGGAGGGAGGAATTCCGCCAGATAAACAAATCCACACACTTGCCAGTGACAGGGCTGGGAGCAGAGAGCAGGGCAGTGGGCCAGCGTGGCTGTGAGTGGCGAGACCTGGCTTCTCAGGGGAAGCTCCCCAAGCTGGGGCTGAGATGCCCGGGTGTCATCTTGCCACTTACCTTTGTCAGCTTGCTCTCTTAGCCTAGAACATTCTAACATTTCCTACGAATTCCAGCTCTTGATCTGCTCCAAGAAACCCTCCCTGAGCACTGGAGCTGGGGAGCACACCCCCTCCTCTGAGTGCATATTCAGCAGGCACTATCGGGGTCCTTACTCTGCTAGGCCTGTAAGAGGCCCTGATCTGAGGCTGCATTCATAGGAAGACCCAATAAATCCTGTTGGCCACGAGGTTGCTTTAAATACACTTTCTGTTCGCCTCTCGTCCAATAGGCTGTTTATGCTGCCAGGGCTGACCGCACTGGACACCTATCGGTGAATAGACAAGCGGCTCTGCTTCCCTGGAGCACAGTTCGGGGCTGCATACCAAAGGAGAATCCAGCCCCTGGGTGGGGAAGGGGGAGAGCTGTTTGTAGTCAGACAGCTGGGTTCAAATCTCAGCTCCACTACCGATAGCTGTGTGACCTCGAAGACTATGCTTTACCTCTCTGCTGACATTTTCAATCTGTAACATAGGGATCATGTAACCGACCTGATATTGCTGCCAGGAGAAGCAGATGAGAGGATGGGTGTAGAGGGTTGGTGTATGTGCCTGCACACACACCGTTATGACTGTCGGTTTAATCTAGTCAGAGCCTTGGTGCCGTGTCAGGTCTCGGATGACATTTAGTCTCCGGCAGGAGCGGTGCAGAGACTGCGTTACTCAGGGGCAGAGCCCTGCTGCCCAGGCAGGGTTGCTTTTCGGAAACAAGTGTGGGTGCGGGTGGGGGGACGCCGTCTGCCTTGTGCCACGGCGGGATCGCGGAGTGCCTGACCACGGTCGGGCTGGGGGACAGCACACTGGCAGTGGGACTCATTGACACAACTTACAGAAGAGGGGAGGGTGGAGACAACCTGCATGCAGGTTTCCCCTTCAGAGAATCACTTTGTTGTTGGTAAATATATATTTTGGAGAGAGAGGCATGTGGCCTTTTAAGCGGTTCCTTGCAGCTACCCTGGTTTTCAAAGTAATGAGCTGTTTTCTTTTTCCCGTAAACATGAGGCTGACATCAGAGAACAATGTTTGATCCCAGTTTTAAAACGAACTGGGTGGTTTTGGAGATGATGGGAATCCCAGGCAGCTGGTTGGCTCTTTCCCTCTGTTTCATTGAAAAGAGTATCTTCAAGGAGCCCACAGCTCAGGGGCACGATGCACTTTGGATTATTGAAAGTTTAGAAACATTTAGGTGATTATGGTAAATAATTCACACAGACCCTGACCAATGCAATTTACTCTTTTGTGCCAGCGCAGGGGGAAAAGCAGAAACCAGCTGTCCCTTTTTTACTTCCCAGACCTGTTAGCGCCATCTAGTGGAGATATGCACTAGGCACAGGATTTGCTTCTCTGGTGTCCCTTCTCCAAAGCGAGGGAAACACCACTCACCTAGAAGCCTTTTAAACCTCAGTGCCATCTGTGTCTCTGCCTCTGAGTTATAAATGCCACCAAGGGCAAATGACTCTCTGGTTGCCCATGAGTGTGCCCAGGGGCCCTGCGACACAGTGGTCAGCGTCTCCGCATTTGAACCTGGTGGTCACTGATTAGCAACGTTACTTCTGACACGGGCAAGTCACCTCAGTTCTCCCACCTCCGTGTTCCCAGCTGTGAAATGGCCCAATAACAAAACCTGTCCTATGGGGTGACCACAAGGACAAAATGAAGTGATGCCCATAGGGGACTCAACACAGTAAAACACCAGATTTCTAATCAAGAAGTAAAAATATGTAATGTAAACCCAGTAAAGATCTTGGCGGGAAGAGAGGGAGAATCCAGTCTTAATAACACCTTACATTGAGGAGGATTTTGGTAAGATTATATTTCAGGTTTGAGTTAGAAGTAGTTGCCTTTTTATTGAAGAAGCTAGGTGTGCGATGGCTTAGCACTCTCGTTTTGACTTCCACAGCCAGTTTGGAAAGCAGGAAAGGGTCCTTTCCATGCACCTGTGATGTGCAGTGTGCTGCATGTGTCCTAGCTAATGTGTGCTTTAGAAGCGGGCACTTTTGTTTTTTTCTAAACAGATAGAAGCAGTCTGTGTTTTAGACACATTTAGATGACAGTAAAAGTACATTTGAAGCAAACAGTGTCTGTGTTTTGCTGAGTTTAGGTAATAAGAGTTTAGCTACTCTGGTCCAGCTGGGATTTTTCTAAATAATCCACATCCCTAAACACCCACAGCTGGGGGGAGGCATGTAAACACTGGCAGCACATCCTGGGGACCTCGGTGTGGCACACTGCCCTCAGAAAGTTCCTGGTACCAGGGACCCCATCCTGTAGGAACAATAGGCTCAGCATGGCCTTGGCAGAGGTCTCAAGGCTTCTGCAGCTCCATCTGGTAAGCGGCCAGGGGCACGGGGTAAAGCCATGAGCCTGAGAGACCGGCAGGAGGGGTTGGGTGGCAAGAGAGAGTCTGAGCTCAGAGTCTGACACCTGGGCTCTGGGACTAGCCTGCCACTTGCCACCTGCTTTCAGTATATCTGCTTCCTCATCTATGAAATGGGATAACACCCTTGCCCAAGTGTCACCAGGATAAAAGCAGAGACTATCTATAAACTCCCTCTACCAGCCATTAGGGCCTGAAACACCCACCTGCCTGTCCCATTTTTGCCATGGCCACTGTGATGTTTGCTGGGGGTGGGCTGGCGCACCCAAGGCCCCCATCCTGTGACGAGAGAAGCTGACTTTGGACTCAAGGGCACAATAACTTCAGACACGCTAAGCAACAGTTTAACATTTTACTAAATCAACTCACACAAATTCCAAATATATTTAAGGGCAACAGATTCTGTTCTGCCTTTTAAATCTTTCCTTTTCAAATCCATCATTAAGACAAAAAGTAAACAAAAATTAAGCCTGCGGTATATTCATGATTTTTCTTCTTGGGGGGGAAAGGAACATTATAGTAAAAACGCCACTGGGTGTACAGTAAAGCACCAAGACACACGGTCACAAAGCGGGTTTCCTGGCTTCTGCCGCCCGTGGTGGACGCTGCTCTCCCGGCTGCTCTGCGGCAAGCAGGGTTTCATTAAAATAAAACAATAAAATCTCCTAGGTTACACGAAAGTCAGACACAGTCTGGAACACAGTGCTTAACAACAGTAATGCCAACTATCAGTGCTAACGTGAAAACATTTTAGAAAGTCAAAACAATTAAACTGGAAACCAAAACCTTATTTTCCCTAGATGAGCAAAATTGGAAACGAAAGGGTTCCCGCCTCCCAATAGGAGTGAAGGGTGTTTTTTTTTTAATTTTTTTCTTTTCTTTCAAGTTGGAGGCAGGGGGCACGGTATGGTTTGTAGTTTCTTGGCCTAGTTGGCGTCCAGCTTGGCCATTTCCTGCACATAGATGCCTATACTCTCGCTGTCAAAAAGCACAAAATACACTGTTTTGATGGAAGAGGACATAGTTGACACGAAGTAATTGGAGATGGCCTTCAGAATCAGTTGAGCTGCCGTCTGCTTCGGAAAACCGTTCCTGCAAGACAGAGGACAGGGCTCAGCAAATAGGGAGGCCAAGGGTCACTGCCACCGCCCTGCCCCCAGGAGGCTCTCAAGGCCACGTGTGCCGGTATTTCCACAAGCTCACCGACAAGCATGAGGAAGCCCAGTGCCCACCAGACAAGGGAAGGATGAGTGGGCAGAGGACTGACCTGCAGGAGATTGTCCTGTATGTGCAGAGGAGGAAGGCATGCCAGAAGTCTGAGAGACAATGAGCACGCAGACAGATCTGTGCTCTGTGGCACGTGGTGTGCATTAAAGTTCTCCGGGCAGCAGGGGCTCCCATGTTTGTTTTTCCAGCATCACTGTGGCCATCAAGGGGCCTGGGACAGAGTCCAGGCTCTCAAAGGCTCCCTGTGGATCTCAGCACAGAGGACGGCTGGGGGCTGGTGCTTCTCCAAGAAGCTCTCGTCTCCGTCCACACAAGATGGAGGTCACGCCCTTCACACTGATCCTTAGGTTCCTGGGTGCTGGGCTACTGGCCAGGAGCCCACTCCAAGCACACAGCAGCCTGAAGCACCACAAGGGCCAGGGCATTAGGGAGCTGTGGGTGCAGAGAAACAATGCTGGGCCAAGTGGGCTCTTCATTTCAAGGGACAGCATCCAAGTCTCTAAGCCAGACTGGAATGAATTCACATGCATTTCCATTTAAAGTAAACATCACGTGGCAATTTGGGGGGAAGGGCCTCAGAACTTAAGAATCTGAAATCAGGACTCCCTGCTTCATGCGAGTCCAAGGCTATTCATGGTCAACACTGCACATGCAGGACCGGTGACCCAGGGGACACAGTAACATAGCAGCTTGCCTAGTCTAGTGGAAGTACTATGGGCTTTGGAGCCACTGGTCCAACCTAGATTCAAATCCCTTACCCTGGTTTACGCTTAAGGATGCCGAGAGGTAGTTTTCATGAGGTTTCTTTGTTCATCAGCAGATCTACAGCTGTCAAACTGCTCTGAGCCTGTGGATCCACTGGTACCCCAAGTGCCAGACCAGCCTGCCAGTTTCAGCTGGACTCTCCATCAGACTGAATAACGGCCGCCAGGTGAGAGATGCTTTAAGCATGCCAGCGCCCCTCACTGGTAGCCAGGGTTCTGGCCACCTTAGTTGTTCCCTTGGAGAGTTGCGCTCATTTTGTTGTCAGTGCTCAGAGCGCTTCTGATGCACAGGAGAAAACCATTCCTGACTTGCTTTTAATCAAACAGGGCTTTACCCAGCTGGGCAATGGACCCTGTAGCTTCTGGATGAGTTAGAAGTGAAGCCTAATCCTACAAGACAGGGATGTCCCCAGGGCATGTCTCCAGCCTGTACAGGGAAGCCCACTGGTGACAGTGGGGTGCCACCCAGAGTCAGAGCCTCAGCCACAGGCACTCGTGCAGGCAGCCAGGACACACACAACTGGGTGAGGACAGTGGGTCAGAGGCTGCATAAACAGATTCGGAGTTATTCCAGCCTGGACAGTGTCAGATAGGCACAGCGCCCTCCAAGAAGATCCCAGGGACTCTGTCTAGTACCAGAGTTCAAGTGACCAAGTTGAGGGAGGGGGGGAGGGGGAAAGTAGGGGAGAGCGGAGAATGAAGGGAGTGAGAAGAGATGGGAACCTCATGTGGCAGGTCGTTCCTCTCACACCCTTCCCCACTCTGGGAATGGCAAGCTCAGTCCAGGCCAGGAAGAAGCTGTTCTCAGCACTCTGGCACAGGTTCCCTGACTACTCTCACAGGAGTTGAGCACACAGGACAGGTTATCTGGAAAGTGCAGGAGGAATCAACCCGACCTTCTGTTTCAGGGGGTATCTCTCTGGTGAGCATATTCTCAGGGGCATGTGTGCAAATGAGTGTCATGTGGAGCCCAACTCGCCCCTATGTTAGGGCAGCTCCACTCCTGAGAGGAACCGGCCAGCTCTAGGGAGCGGTGTGAAGGTACAGGTCACGGCATTGCTGGAATAAGGGCCCACTTTAAGTGTCTCACAAATAGAAATGTTTATTTTCCTGCTGTTCATACAGCTGCTGTCTGAAGGACTGGTCAGATGGCAGTGATCCTCTTAGCTTCATCCTGGTGGGGAAAGCTTGAGAAGGAGGCAGCCTAGGGGCTGGCCTGCCACTGGGAGCAACTGTGCTCGCCCCCGGAGCTCCAGGGCTTTGGACCAGGCAGAGCCCTGTCTATGGATGTGACCTGGCTGGGTGGGACTGGGCAGAGCTGGGAGCCCAAGATCATTCTCCACAAGCTCCAAGCTCCCCCTAGTGAGGGTGCCCTCCTGCCTGTCACAGGGGAGCTGGGCTGAGGTGAGGGCCTGTGGGACTTCCTTGAGGATCGCTGTTGTGTGGCCTGACGGTCCAGGGTGTTTGCTGAAAGGGTCTTCCTGGGCACCAGACACTGCGTGTTGCTCCCACAGCTTTCCGTTCCTCTACCTGGGACCCCTGAAAAGGGCTGTGATCTCAGCAAGGGGATATTTTCAACGTTAGTCAGGGCTGAGGAGGGCTTGTGGAAGCGTAGGCTACTGGGCTCCATGCAGGGAGCTGACTCAGCAGGTGTGGGGACCCCTCTTTGGAGCGACTGTTCTTTGTGGAGCCAACAGGACTTTCTCATCTGAACTTGCAGGGTGGGCACAAAGGTGAAGAACCTCAAGTGGGGACACAGGTAAGGATCAAAGTGTTTAAAGGTGCAGTGTCCACGCCTGCATGCCCTCCTATTGATGGAGTGCGGGCTGGGCTGGCCTTGTGCTTCAGGGTGGCTGTTGAGTAAATGTGAATCTGATTTATTTCCAGGAAAAGGTCTTGCTGCTGAACCTGTCCCTCTGCGCTGGATAGCCACAACCACGGGAGATGGCCACACTGGACCACCCAGGGCCAGGAATGGAGGTAACAGCTTTCCTAATGTTTTCTGGTGGGGTTCCAGTGTTTCCTAGAAGCCAGTTAGAGAATATGTAATGAAACGGTAAGTTCAAATAGATGTTCTCACAGGAATGCTTTCCACAGAACCCTGCACCATTGAGAGGGACCGCTGTGGCCCACGCGGTGACCTGGAGACACACAGGATTTGACTTTGGGCCCTGTCTCTGTGCCCTGTTTCCCCATCTGGTGCAATGGGGTTGGTAATCAATGGGGTTGTTACCTGAGGTCACCAATCAGGTAATCTAATCAATGGGGTTGTTATCTGAGGAGGCTGTGAGGACGAGCAAGATGCTACACCGAGTCCTCCTCCACAGGTGTATCTGTAAGGCGGGTGGTCACGAAGGTCTTTCTGAAGGCTCACCCAGTGGAAAATCCCTCCCCACTCCAGACCCCATGATAGTGACGGTGACAGCTGCTGTCGTGATAACTACCCTGTGCTAATAACGTGGCATCAGGCCTCAGTCCTCTTGGAGGGCTGTCGGCCATGGCTGTGGGCATGCCGAAGCTTGGCAGGGGCACAGGTAGGGGTTCCTTGGTGTGGCGCTGCCCAGGTTCCAGAGAGCTGCTTGCCTAAGGCGTCTCCCGGTTGCACAGACACAGCCCTTCTGCACACCATCGCTGCGTGGCCATGCAGTTTGCCTTCTTCCTGCATCTCAGGCCTGCTGCCTGTTACCGTCACTCTGTCCTGTGCTGCACCGTGCGTGCCTTCTGGAGAGACCAGCTACACCTCCTCTGACACACAGTCAGGCTTGAATCTGACGTGGATGGGCATTAACCTCTCTAGGCAATAGTTTCCTCACTGGAAAACAATGCCTCCAGGATTCACATGGTGATGAGCAGGATGGTGGTGATGTGGACGCTGCTGCCCTGACAAAGTGAAGGCACCCCTCATTCCCATGGGCCTGACTGACCTGGGCTGTGCTTACGGCATGTGTCCTAAGTTTCTCCGTGGCTAAGTGCTCACACCCTGCAGAGTTTATCTTAAACTCTGAGCTGTTTTTTTTTCTTGTTTTTTTTTCTTGGTCTTGCCTTGAGCATACCAAGGACAGATATCTGAGCTTCCTCCGAAGTCACTCCAGTTATGTCAAGGACAGTCTTTCTTAAATGTCTTGGGCCTCAGTTTCCCTAGCCTGGTGCAAAGGGACCCTGTGGACTATCTTTTTGGTTCCCTCTTGGATCAGCCTGCTCAGTGATGGCTGGGGACCGGATGGCAGAAATGTGCGTTTGCAGGGCCACTTCACAGAAGACCCTGCTCCTTGAGTGAGGCATCGCCAAGCACCCCCGTTCCTGGTGAGCTGTCCTCCAGTGCTGGGCAGGGCAGGCCCAGAGCTGTGCTGAGGAGGCCAATCAGGCACCAACGGGGAGAGGCTGAGCCCTGGGGGCGGGGAAGTGCAGGTGGGTTTTCTGGGGGAGACAGACGGGGAGCTTGCCCTGTGTAGCAGTGACATGGATTTCAGATTGAGTCTGGTTTCCTTGCTGGGCCAGGCCACCTGTCTAGTTGGCTTTGCTGCTTGGGAGATGGGTAGGGCTGGATATCTTGGAAGCTTGGGTGATGTGAATACTCATCTGCTGGGATTGGGTCTCCCTCACACTGTGATCCTGGGCTCCTCCATTTTTTCATGTTCTGTCTGGCTTTGAGTAACTGTCTGTCTGAAGTTGCCCATCGAGAGGCCACTCCACCCAGAGATAAAGATAAGGTGCTACAAATTGGAGAAGCCAAAATTTAGGAGGGGATGATGGGCCTCTATCCCTCAAGGCTAGAGAGGGGTCCCGGCTCACATGTGGTGGGTTGATAAGTAATTCTCCCTAATTCAAGGAATACCATTCATGGTAGCCTGGAAAAGACGAATTGGCTTTCTGTTTAAGCTCATAAACCTACGGAGAGTTTAATCAAAGCCCCAAACTAGCTATTCCCTATGAACTGCCTCTTTGGAAAGGGGTCACTCCCTAATGTCAACCAGAACTGAGGGAGTGGAGGTGTCCATAAATATTGTGACTGAGTGCCCAAGGGCAGGATGTCCTGACGCCAGAGGCTGGCTTATGCCCCCAGCTCTTATTTATACCCACTGGCTTGGAGATTGGTCTGGGGGGCAATAGGTGGGAGGAAGGAAGTGTAGGGTCATGGTCCTCCATCTGCCTGGGACACTAGGCCTCGGCTGAGAGAAAGTGAGCCCACTTTACCCTCATATTTGCATTTCTATCCCTTTAGTTACAACATGACTTTTATGCCAGGGACACTGGATGCCACAAACAAGCTGTTTTATTTCCCCTCCTAAAACCCACTGTGATTTACTGGCCAGCTCTGGTGTAATCCCATTCTTTACTCATGAAAGAGAGGGTGGCTGTTTACACGGTGCTGAGGGGCAAGGTCTGCCTGGCAGATGTGGGCAGCTGTGCACATGTGCTTACCTTAGGAATTCCACCCTCTTAAAAGCTTTCAATTGATTATTTCTTAAAACTTTTTACTCCATGAAAAATGTAAATGAGTTTGTAATAACAGATGCTCTTTTATGAGAATTACTTTTATGCTTCAATTAGAAATTCCCCAACAGCCATATGAAAGAGCATGAAATTATTACCTCCAATAATGGCTCCTATTGCTTCTCTCTTCGGAAGCACCTTTCATCAGAGCAGATCAAAGTGCCTCCAAAGCACTAATTAACTGAACCTCAGAACTGCCTATAAGGAAGGGCAGCCCTCAGACAGAGAGAGTGATTCATTTATCAAAGGTCACACAGCAGTGCAGTGTCAAATAACAGACCTTCTGTGGAGAAGCTGGCTATTTATGCTCTGATACAAAAGCATTTTATAAAAAACTAGAGGCCCAGTGCACAAAATTTGTGCACGGGGGTGGGGGGGGTGTGTGTGTCCCTCAGCCCAGCCTGTGCCCTCTCCAATCTGGGACCCCTTGAGGGATGTCAGACTGCCCATTTAAACGGGCAGTCGGATATCCCTCTCACAATCCAGGACTGCTGGCTCCCAACTGCTCGCCTGCCTGCCTTTCTGATTGCCCCTAACCCATCTGCCTGCCTTCTTGATCGCTTCCTAACCACTCCCCTGCCAGCCTGATTGATACCTAACTTTTCCCCTGCCAGCCTGTTTGCCCCTAACTACCCTCCCCTGCAGGCCTGTTCACCCCTATCTGCCCTCCCCTGCTGGACATCTTATGGGGGCCATCTTGTGTCCACATGGGGTCAGCCATCTTGTGTATTGGAGTGATGGTAATTCTGCATATTACTCTTTTATTAGATAGGATAGAGGCCTGGTTCACGGGTGGGGGCTGGTGGTTTGCCTTGAAGGGTGTCCCGGATCAGGGTGGGGGTTCCCTTGGAGTGTGTGGGGCAGCCTGGGTGAGGGGCCTGAGGTGATTTGCAGGCTGGCCACACCTCCTGGTGACCCAAGCAGAGGCCCTGGTATCTGGGATTTATTTATCTTCTATAATTGAAACTTTGTAGCCTTGAGCAGAGGCCAAGACAGGCCAGGGCTGAGAAAACTTGGCTTCCTCTATTGCCTCAAGCAACTTGAGCTTCCTGCTCTCTCTAGTTCTGTGGCTGCTGCCATTTTGTTGGGATTTATTTATCTTCTATAATTGAAACTTTGTAGCCTTGAGTGGAGTTCTGGGCCCGCCAGGGTGTGCGGAAATCTTGGCTTCCTCCATTGCCGGGGAAACCCAAACCTCCTGCTCTCTCCATGGCTGCAGCCATCTTGGTTGAGTTAATTTGTATACTCATTCCTGATTGACTGGTGGGCATGGCTTATGGAGGTGTAGTCAATTTGCATATTACTCTTTTATTAGATAGTATTTTTAAAAGTCTTAAATTGACTCTGGGACTGCTACTGGCACCTTATGAAGCCAGCTGCCTCTGCAGAGCCCTGATTTCCTTGGGCACTGAGAGAGGGGCTGGTGGCAGAAATCCAAGCCAGCTCATGATCCTGATGCGAAGCTCAGGTGCAGCCACTTGCTGATATAGAGCCCTGGACTGTGGCCCCACTTGGGCCTAAGATGCCAACAGCTGCAGTCCTGAAGGCCAGCTCCCTTTTCTCAGGGCCAAATTCAGACCGTGAGCCTTTGCAGGGAGGACCCTGGTGATGTGAGGGGCAGTGGGACCCCTCAGCGGTAGTATGGCTCCTACAGGCCCTCATGGCTACATCACAGAGTTCTCAGAGCAGGCCTAGGAAATTGAGGTCTTTTAAGATTATTATGAGGGATTGTTATGCCTGTTTTAGAGAGTAGGGTTTTGGGCTCAGATTGGGGTCAATTTGTGTGCCAGGACTCAACCCCAGGCCTGCCCCCAGACCAGGGCTTTTCAAGGACAACCCGCATCCATGCTGGCTCTCTGGGTAGTGTGTCTATTGAGGGGCAGTTGTGCTGCTCCTCACAACCTCACTGCGCTCACCTGGGGATAATACAGGGCTGAGAGGTGAGGTAGGTTCAGCCCCATTTCACTCTCACCCAACTGCCTGCTCAGTTCCAGCAGGTTCCACGGCCTCATTAGCAGGGTGATGAGGCAGAGCAAGCAGTGTGGGAGGTGAAGGTCGCTTGGGAACACATGGGTAAGAGGCAGAGGGCTTAAATCCCTGCATCCACACCTCCCCTGTCCTCCACTCTCTGAGCCATCATCTCTGACAGTCCCAGGACACTGAAGTTACCCTCTGTGGTGCCATTTGCTGTCACAACACAAGTTCTATACTGACCCAGGCTTCCTATCTCACTCTGTCCCTTCCACTGTCCCTCATCACTGCTTAATGTGTGTATTCTTCCCGATTTTTTGCCTCTCTTCCCCTAGATTAAGGCCAGTGCTTGTACACAGTCAGAGCTCCATAATTATAGTCTAAATATGCAGAGAAATGAACCCATGGTTGCTAGGTTAATAGGCAGGTGCCCTTACCTGCCACTGCCGATGGATGGAAACGCAATGGACTTCAGCTTCTTATCATCTGCCAGGGCCAAGCAGTTTTTCACTGTCTTTTCCAGCAGCTCCTCACATTTGTCTGCACCCCAGACGGGGCTGTTACAGTGGATCACAAACTTGGCGGGCAGGCCATGTCCTGCACTGACAGCAGCTGAAAGGGATGAGACAGGAACAGTGAGTTTGTTCTTCGGCAAAGAGCACAGCACTAGATGCCAAACACAGACCCATTCTCCAGCCACGGCACTGCTGCCTGCTGAGTTGGGATTCCCACATAAGCATGGGCTGGAAACTGCTCCTCAGTTAGTCCTCTTACTCTGGGAGGCCAAGCCAAGACCCAGCCTTGAAAAGTTAGTATTGGCTGCATCACCACAGGAATTTTAGCCAAGACTGTAGTAAGTTCTTCCTCTACCTTCTCAGAAGGCAAAGCCTTAACCATCTAACATGATCGACTGTGTTTGCAGCCTCCGAGTAACTGCCTTTTGGGGTCTCTAACCCCCTTTTCTCAAGTGCATTCATGCGCATATATAATTATGTATCTACAGGTCTCCCAGACACAGTTCAGGACAAACTTATGAGGGAAGCAACCTGACTAGCATGTTTGCTGCCCTGTTCTTCTCCCTAACCATCTAGTTTGGACAGAATTAGACTGTTTCTAGGATGAAACTATTTTCTTTTGCCAAAAAACGAGCCTTTTTCCAGCTACACATAGTAGACCTGCTCCATCTCTGCCATGTCCTCCCCCCCTACTCCCCCAAGGAAATGGGACCAGCCAGCCTGGTGTCTCCCAGAGCACATTTCAGGATTCCTGTTCCCTAAGATGCAATGCAAAGGAGGTGGTTCTAAGTCCCAGGGTTGGTGGGTTCTGCCTGCATGCTTCTATCCTGAAGTACCCGAGTCCCCACACAACTGCGACAGGAAGACACCCAAACTTTTTGGTTTGACAGAATATTTCCTAAATCCATTTTGTGAGGAACATGTCATTAGTAGGTGATTTGTGGGTATTGTCTCATGGTACAGTAGAAATAGCTCTGGACCAAGATTCATGGGTGTGAGTGTGCATCTTGGCGAGGCTTACTGACTGGTTTGAGAAGGCTGAGCTGAAGTGTTGACCTATTAAAACCTAAGACTGGGTTTAGTTCATTGGTCTGTCCATGTGATTCATCACTGCTCAACTATATATGGAAAAGAGTGGAGAGAAATATGTTAACAGTGATTATTTTTTTTAAAACCTTTTCTAAATTCCTAAAATCAAGAACAAAGTGTTTTTGTTATTAAAACAAGCAAACAGATCTTTACCATACTAAATCCATACTAAAGCTAATGCGTTTGCTGAGTTTGGTGCATGGCAGCACCAGGGCCACCAAATAAGCTCAAACTGAGCACCAATGGGAGGACGCTGGGCAGGGGCTGAAGAAAGGCCAGGAACCCTGGTCAGGTAGATTACGCTGTGTGTGTCTTCCCTTGTTTTTCGGAACTGGCTGGGATAGGTTGGTCATTGTGCCCCTGTGCAATGCCATGCCCCTTGTAGGCAAACAACTGGCAGAACAGAGGTCAAAGGCACAGGGACCCATGACTAGCCTATGGCAGCAAGCCAGATGTAGTCCCTGGGGGAGGGGGTTATGATAGATGGACCTTCTGAGAAGGATTTCTGTGGACATGCAGTAGTTATTGATACCTGTATTTAATTAAGATTCATTTTAAAAGCAGGATTTGAAGAGAGATTGGGGACTGAGAACCGTCTAGTAAGAAGGGAAATCATGGCCTATCCTTGCATAGCTGTTGGCTAACCAGGCTGCACCCCTGTGGACTCCAGATCCTCAGGAGGTCTCTGCCCACCTGAAATTCCAATATCTAAGCAGGCAGCAGTAACCAGGACTTGGCCTCTACAGACCTTACTTGACACTATTCCTCCCCACATCGTATTTCCCCTATATCAGGAATGGTGTCATTGGTAAGTGAGAAATGTGTCTTTATATTTTCCCATTAAAAGCACAGATGGCTGAATAAAAGTGATTAATTTGCATCTCTCACCAGCAGTTTTACAGATGGCTCAGTAACACTGTCTCTAATTCTCACAGCTTAAATTTGCCAAACTCAACTTCTGTAATCCCTTAAAATTTGACATCAAACATCTAGAAGCTATTTTAAGCAATAAAGAAAAAAGATTGGAAGGGCAGTTTCCACAACGTTTCAGCTCCCCTGACCATCTGCATGTGACAAAAGTCTAAGTTGTAAAGCCAACAAGCTCCCCCTCCATCTCACAGACACACCTGCGCTGCCGCCTCTGAATCTCAAGCTGTCTCCTGCCTTCCCTAACCCCCAGCAGCGCCACACCCACACATGCCCGTGCTTCCTCCCTTACCTCCAGCCACTTCCAAGGGCCCGTTCTTTTTCCGGAGCTCCAGGACAGCTTCCACAAAGTCCTTGCCTCCTTTCTTCTCCAGCGTGTTTCCTAGACAAGGACAGGGCAAGCTCAGGTTGCGCTTCAGCCTCAGGGCACACACAGACACTTAGCATGTCAGCTGATTACATACTTTATATATGATCTGACCAGCTCAATTCCCATATGGCTGCAAAACAGGAGCTAAGCCTCGGCTGCGTCACAAGAGTGAGATGCAGAAGGGATTCGCCATTGGCCGAATACCACTCTGGCACTGCAGACCCTTATTTGGGGGTGACTCGGGGTTATCCTGGATGAGCCAGAGATTCAAGAGATGGGAGATGCCTGTTCTTTGTGAGCAACCTGCCCTGCGTGCTTTTTGGCGGCATGAGAAACCAGATGGCTTCCAAGGCTGATACCTCCCCTGGATTTTCTTCTCTGTCTCTGGGGGAGAACCCCCAAATAAGGAGGTTTTAGAAGAAGCATACCATGCTCCCATCAGGCAGCTAGCTCCCCTCCTGGCAGCAGGCCCAGAAGAAAGCATGCAGATTTGGTCATTTCTGGACCAATGTTATTACCATGCTTAGTTCTTATTTTGCAGCTTGGACATATGTGAATACAAAAAAAAAAAAAAAATGGCCTCAGACAGAATTTCCTTAATCACACTTATGATTCAGAATCATTTCAGGTAAAGGAGAGCAACATCAGAGCTTAGAGATGAACTTGAATTATACAAAAGCCAAGAAAGGAGGATGTTCAAGAGGTAGGAAGCACTTTTTCTGGTGTCTTAGGGTATAATAATTTCTGCTATGAAAGCCAAGCTCTCAAACAAGATCCCCACACCGGTAAAGTTCTGTGGGTTAAATGTCTCATGTGGGACAGCAAGCAGCAACCAAAATGAGAGACACGACACCACCCTTTAAAGTTTGGCCAGAATGGGTCTTGGTCTTCCTTAAGCTCTGATTCCTCAGTTTTGCACATTTTAAAGTACTTTTCCTCACAAGAGGACAAAATACTCCCCTTAAGATTCACCACTTGTCTTGAAAAATTCAAGTATGGGTCAGTCAGGTGCATCGGATCGCACCAGCCCTAATTCTCTTGGGATTTACCCTGTAATGATTGGGGCTGGTTTTCTTAGAGAAATCTGCCTCATTTGAATGCTTGCTTTGGAGGGGTGAACTAACCCCAGGAAGTATCAAGAAGGAAAATCAGAGGGTCTGGGCACTGTCACCAATCAGATAGCCCCAGGGTTAATGAAAGGTAGTGACCTGTGAGCCACCTGACTATAGAAGTTCGGTGTGCATGAATGAACGTGATGCAGGCAAACACCCACACGCACGCTCAGCTTACTATGAGGAGGCCTTGCTCTTAGAGAGATTAACTTGGGATCCTTGAGGAGGAATCCAGCATCCCTCCTCATTAACCCAGACTGCCCCCACGCCTTCCTGTGTCTTGGAAAGCAGTGAAGTAGGTATTTAAGTGGCAACTTCTACGTGTTTCTGACAAAGTTCAGCATCAGAGACACAAGTTGAATAGGCTTAAGGGGGCAGGTTCAGGCCTCATGGTTCAGAGACCCCACCCACCAGAAAGTGGAGGCTCTGAGGATACAACCCAGGTGAGTGAGACTCACAGGTTCACCTGAAATATCTGTGCCACTGAGAAAAATTAATCTGCTGGATCCCAAAATGCTGCTGCCTAACTGCACCCGGTCTAGCCTTGCCTCCTTCCCAATCTCCAGCTTGAAGGGGGGAGTCAGATGTACTCTAGGCAGGACTAGTTAAGATCCTCATTCTTTATCCTATTTACTCTTTGGGACAGCTGGTAAATTTGGAATGGAAAATAAAATCAGTACTATATTAATACTACCAACTCCTTTCTCAAACATTAAATATTTAAGAAAATGGGATGATTTACAATTAAAGATATTCTATCTTAGGAAGAGTGTTTACTTTAAAATTTTTGCTTATAATTAAGTCTTGCTTTAACTAGAAGTGAAATTTGCGAGTTAAAATACACTTAATACCCAAACTTAAAAATTGAACCCTAGATTGCAGGCAATGCACCCAGTCAGGACTCGACTCCTACACACACATATGTATGCACATGTTCATGTAGACACACAGGTACTTTTTAACAAGAAACAGGCCCATTTCAACTGTATTGTCAACACTCAATGTCAGACTCTTGCTTTTTAGGCTTAACTTCAGGGTTAATCATAAAGCAATTGACTTATTTGCCCCCAAGCATAAACATGTGTTACTCCCATGAGAACAAGAACATTATTTTCATGCTTCAAAAGCAGGCATAAGTATCAGTGTTCAAAACAGCCTAAGCGAAAATTTAGGCTTGGACAAATGTCAGGCTAAGCCTGTGGTCTATTTCACTGTTAGAAAGAACTTCTGATGGTAAAGTTAATCACTGGGGCTACGCATTCCTGCACTCCCATTCCTTCTTCCAGCGGTCTCGGGACTCGGAATTCACACCAAATATGAGAAATGGAGTGATTGTGTCCTAGCTTCCTTGTTTCCCCGCTCACACATCAAAAGTGGGAGCTGGAAGCAATTGAGAGTACGTGTGAATCTGTTTGATCATTGGTTTGGAATTAGAAAAGAAATCTGGGCTCAGTACTAGTTTGAACTGGTTCGCCAAGAAAAAGCACTGAGGTGGGCTTTTGAAGACCTGGGTTCGGATTCCTCCTTAGTCTGTCAGGCGGTCTGGACCTGCTGAGGGTCTTTTCCAGCTGTGACAGTGTGAGCGAGCGATGTGACCTTGGGCAAGCTCTTGAGCCCAAGTTACTTACATGTCCCTGAGGCTATCATATGTTTACTCTGTGCACACTAGGGGGCTGAGGATAAGCAGGCCGGGGGAAAAGGATTGGCACTGTCATTATTCAGGAAGGACTGGGTTCTTGACAGGGCTGAGTTGACTGCCTGGGACCCTCTCAAAGCCTCCAGCTATATTCCCTTCCCCCAACTACCCCTCCCCCACCCTCCCGGTCCCCGTCCCCGACCCTGGGACTGATCCTGCTGCACACAGGCCTTCCACTGCCAGCAGCTCAGGAACTCTCCTCTCCTTGGGCCCAGGAAGTATCATAATTTCCATTTCACTAAAATTCCTGGGTGGCAGCTGTTTGGTTTATTTATTTTCCTTCAAATAAGTATTTTTCTCCCACCAAGTTCTCAATTGGTTAAGAAAGGAAGTATCTCTCTCTTAAACTGCCCGACTTAGGAGCTCTTAAACTCCTCTAAAATCTTGTCAAAGGGATGTTTAATTACCTACAGTCTGGTTTCATTTTGACCTGACAGACTTGGCAAACCCTGACTTTCCGTCCGGTTTGTCTTTCCATCCATGTCCGAAATTCAGAATGCCCAGGAGAGCAATTAGCTCAAATCACAGAGGCTAGAGCAGGCTGAACAGCAGGCTCTGCTAGTGACAAGAAACAGAGCTGGGCCACCAGACTACTAACTGTGGTGCCTCCAGAACCAGGACACTCACGAAAATCCCGAGAGTCTCATCCTTCAGGATGACCTCACCTTTGCCCCAGTTAGAGATGTCTCCATTCTCTCTGGAAGCTGGTGTTTGAATTTACACTCAGAATGCTCCTCTCAGCATATCTACTGTAAAATTCACACATAAGGGAGTGAGCACCAATAGGTCAGCACCAATCATGAGCCACGCGCAAAACACAGTGCTTTGCTTATTAGTTAGTTAACATAATTTTCATTATTTAGCACTATTTTTAAGAGAGGGAAACTGAGGCATCAGGGAGTTAAGTGACTTGCCCAGACCTCACAACCAGTAATGGTGAGATTAAGATTCAAGCCCCTGCACTTAGCTCCAATTCTGCTGTATTTTTGCCATCGATGCCTCATCACATAAATGCCTCATCACATTCTTAAAGCAGGGCACTGCCTGGCCCACTGTGGCAACACATTGGCAGCCACAGGCTCAGCACCCCCAGTGCTCTCTGCTTCACCCTATTCTCAGTTATTTAGCACCAGAACCAACCAATGATGTGTGTCAGCTGCTAGGGAGAGAAGGGGCTTTCTGGGTCTAGGAGAGTGTTTCTCAAGACACATCAGAATGAGGTGATTTTTGTTCCTGGAAGGTCTGAGAACCCCTGAGTATGGAGAGTGTTCTGAAACTGCCCCAGTGGGCACTTGAGCCTTTAAGGCCATTTTCAGGAAGGAGTGTGCTTCTGATGTGGAGAGAGGGGTGGGGTTGGGGGCATGGAGACCTGAGCACAGCTTCCCTATATGTCTGGTGCACAGAGGGCACACAGGTGGTCTCAGATGCACCTTGGCCTGTCTGGTTGCATTGCCCTTGCAGCTGAAGTCATGTGTGAACCCAGTCTCCATCAGCGCTGTGCCTTGTGAAGCAAATGAAAAAAAGAGGTTGCTGAACCAGTTTCTAAACCAGAAGTGTGCCCATTGGTGAGTTGCAAGATACACCTGGCTGGCAGCTAGCTGTATTTTTCATGTTCACAACCCGGGGATGGGCGACCTTGGGAAGGTCAGGACAGCTGGAAGTGTGAAATGAAGGCAGCCCTGCATAGCTGTCAAAGATCAAGCTGTCTGCGACGGCCGACTGACCATGCACACACACACTCGGCAGCACCCAGCTAGGCATTACCTACTTCACCACCGGTGTAGAAGTCATTGTTTGTCGGGTGAACGACAGCATCACTGTCGATCGAGGCAATGTCAGCCTGTACAACTTGCAACTATAACAGGTAAACAAATGTATATCAACTGTGTTGGACCGAGACCCACGCACAGGCACATTCACTAACGCCCCATGGCAGGGCTGGCCTACCTGGTCGATTCCAACATAGGAGCCCAGGGGGCACAGTCCACGAAGTGTGCGCACATGTGGATGGGGGTGAGGAGGAGGAATATCAAATGTGACATGTTGAAATTAAACATTTGAATGACAAGTCCCAAAAAAAGAGAAACACACAGATGAGATCATTTCAAAGTTAAAAGAAATAAAACAACGAATGCCCCATTTCACTTCGCAAAAACCTGTATAACTGGAACCCCACTGAAAAGGCTACTAAAATATGGCATGGTTTTGTTTTTGATTTTTTTTTTAAAAAGTGGTGGACTATCAGGCCAACCAAAACAATCAGTTTCTCCATTTTATCAGCAGCACTCAACTTTCCAGGTTTCATATTCATTCTTGTAACATTCATCAGTTTATCTACCTTCTTGAAAACCAAGAAAACAGTATAGGTATACATAGAGGACTATTTTTATTTTTCTGCTTCAATGAGTAAGAATATTCTTCCAGGCCTGCCTCAAGGAAATCATATTATATATATATATTAGTATATAAAGGAGGATAGAATCCTTGCTTTTTCTAGCTTGGAGCCTTTGCTGTTTTTAGAGATGGTATCTGGTAAAGGCAGTTGGAAAACAAGCTCAAGAAGGGTACTCTTGAGTCCCAGTCCCATGTTCTCAGCCCCACTGCTGCACCTAGGTTGTGTGTGTTGGGCCCGCACTCTGAAACAAGCATCTCTCCCAGCCAGAAAATCTGCCCAGTGTGGGAGCTAAGGCACACAAAAATGCATGTAAGTCAGTGTCGGGCAAGATGATGCCTGGTGTGGACATTTGCTAGTCCACTGCCCCTGGCAAGGTTCACAGCTAAGAGGACAGGAGCCTTTTTGGCTGACAGCTCCTCTATGCAAAGGTGAATCCACAGATGGACACCTGAGGGCCACTCTCAGATGGCTCAGACCCCTCTATCCTCGTGAGCAGGGAGACCCTGTGGCTAGGGGGGCAGTGCCTTCATCTGTAGGAACTCGCTTAGGAATAAATATTGTTCCTCTGTTTGATATCATCTTCTAGCCAAATAATTCATGATGGTGGCACTCAGCCATATACTGTTTTCAGTTGTAAAAAACAGTTGAACAAGTGACAATAGGCAGTAAATTTGGGGAAAACCAATTTGCTGGTGGATTAGCTTAATTGTATACTGATGCAGCTTGTCTCCCTTTTCAGGTGCTTTGAAGCTTTGAGTGTCAAATTAAGGCTTAAATGGAGAAACTATCATTTTGTAGTTACCTGAGATTTTTCCATTCTAAAAAAAAAATACATTTTTTTAATCCCCCCCCAAGTAACCAGCAGTCAGTGTGATCATTATGGAAGAGAATTTAGACGGCAATATATTTACTATCAAGGAGAAGAAAGTGGCCAATGGCACTAAATGAAACATCATCAAATCATTTCCATTTGGAATGGCTCCGAGTAAGCAGACATTCAATGTCTACAACCAAAAGTTCATCTTGTATTGGGGGATTTGGCTTGATTATCTTAAGTTTGAGAAGATGAAGAGCCTAAATTCTGGGTTCCATAACTTTTCATCTGACAGCTGGCGGCGCCAAACCCCATTCCCAATTACCTAGGTCATCTTTAAGGTCAATGTCAGCATTGGTAGGATTGATTATGGCCTCCACCTCAAAGCCGGCTAAATTACTGATTTCACTGTGAATAAGGTTCAGCTGAAAAGAAAAGCATGAGGTGGGAAATAACAGGACAGCCGGGAAGTCACAGAGAAGTGAGCCTTGGCACATAGATGAAGGGCAGCGAACACTTCAAGGGCACTGGGCACAAAGGGAAACAAGGAGTAACTGGCTAAAACAAATCCATTTCTATCAAAAGACTCAAATGTCATTCAGGATGCTGAAAGGAAGCAAGCTAGCTTGAGGGTCCAGAACCTGTTGGGTGATGCTTAGGGCAAAAGGAAGGCATGAGCCATATCGGACTGGTGGATCCACTTCCTTTGAAAGAACCTGTTATCTGTGGGCCAAACAAAAGCAGCTGTCAGAACCCAGAACCAGAGGGCTCATTGCTGGGTGGGGGCTACATGTGACTACCTTCTTCTCTGAGCAGTGGGGTGGGGTGAAAGCCCAAGCTAGTCTGGACAAAATCTTAGTCGCTCTGCCATTCTCCTCCAAGTGGCCGTGGGCTTTAAGGCTGTCCTCATCACCGTGACTACTACTGGCTGGCTACCCTGCCCTGCTCAGGGGTGGCAAGGAGGAGAATATTTGTTGCTTAGTAACATCTAATTTGACATGTCCATCAGTCGTGTAATGCTGAAGATCTGGTGAAGCCCAGGAAGAAAAAGGCAGTTCTCCAGTGAGACAATGAGTCTTTTAAATGTTTTTCGCCTTGTTGTGAGGTTACTCTGAGGCCCCATCGGTTGATCATTTTCCTTGAGTTTTATGAGCACCCAACCAACTGGCTCTTTCTAAAGAGTCACTAAATGTCCCCCTCCCCACTATTATTCTGTTTTCATAGCAACTGTCAGTATGAGAGGAATCTAGTTCTAGATTCAGCTGTGAAAGCAGCCAAAGGACTTAAATTAGGTGGCTCAAGACTACTATCCTGTTTGTATTCTTCCCTTTCCCATTCTTAGGTATAAGTGTCTGCAGCAAAGCCAGCTCTAGCTCACGCTCCCTCTCTCTGTCTCTCTCTAAAGATGCTCATTCTTCAGTGACATAAATTTCTAACACTGAAGCAAACAGCAATGCCTGAGAGCCCCCAGAATAGTTAGCACCCCAGACATGCTGACTGCAGCCCTTTGTGCAGGCAGAGGCAGAGCCAATCTGGCCATCTGGAAGGCAGCTTGGTGCCCAGTATTTAGGGAACACCAGGCCTGACTTTGATAGGGAAGGAGCTGATGTCTTGAATCTAATGGTTAGATGCCCAGGATGCTGGACATAACCTACTTGGCTATAAAAAACAGTACAATCCTCTTTTTTTTTTTTTTTTACATAATATGATAAAAAATTCAATCTTAGGAAATCAAAGTGATTGTTAAAGATATGAGTGACATGTTTAGTCTAGACTAATTGTCAATTTTTGGTGTCTCAGTCCCTCAAAATGGACAAGGAAGGAGAAAACTGTCTAGTCTTACTTCCCTTTGCTAGTCACATGAAATGCAATTCTTTTTCTGTCCCCAAAGTCTGCTTAATCTAAGGAGGATGGAAAGAGCAGTGTCTCCCATAGAATTGCTTGTAAATTCCTCCTGGAGAACCACGTTTTCTCTGTGGCCCACTCTCCTGCCCTTGCTTATGGGATAAAAGGACTCCATCATCTCTACTCTGCTGTCCACCTTGCATGCAACCTGGCCTGAACTTCCCCAGAAGCCTCAGGTCTATGGTGGCTTCTGGTATGTTTCAGGCTGGAATGTGTCACACAAAGGTCAGGACACATAAGGGCACTGCGGGTGGCCCAGGAGCTGAGTGCCCGCTTTTCATGGATTTGTCAGTTTTCAGTCATCCTGGATTCTCAGAAGCTAGTCGTCAGCCACAGTATGGAAATGGGTAACGGCCCTTTACTCCTCGATGCTGCTTCAAGAGCTAATCTCCTTATAGTTTTCCAGCCCCAGGAATAGGGTGTCTGACTCTGGGGGAGCAAAACCCTGGAACCCCCCTACTTTCAGTGACCTATAGTGCTGCAGCTGCCATGCTGATAGTGAGGGATGGGGAAGACTCACTCATACCCCTTACACTGCCTTCCCAACTGCTTCAGATAACACCCTTCCAGGAAGCCTAATACCACACTGACCTGGATTTATAGAGATGCATACTGGAGTATTCTTTTTAAAATAAAACCAATTTTTTTATATCTCTAAAAAGGGGCTGCAAATCTCTATTGAGCCGAAGAAGAAAAATCTTTTAGTTGATTCAGATTCCCAGCCCTGTGTTCTCTTTGAAAACAGTTAAGCAATGTGTGTGAATAGTAGGTAAAATCACAGAGTAATAAGAGCAATGACTCTTGAAACTTCATTTTGTGAAATTCCTTGTCAACAGCAATTAGATCCCAGCCTCCTAAAACCAGCTGCCTTCTCCCGGGAGTGGCTTCATAACTGTGCCTTACACAGTTGTCGGAGCACAGTATCACCTTTCTCCATTCCAGCTTGCTGGCAATATTCAAGCCTTGGTTTAACTGCCACAGATGGAAAAATAAAGACTCATAGGATGTGGGGTACCATATAGTCATTGTTCTCAAGTACGCTTTTTGAAACATTTCCTAAAATCTACTCAAAATTAATGTCTTTAATAACATTTTAACATGTTTTTGTGTAAAATGCTCTTGTGCTTTGTTTAAAAATTCATGTCAGTTTTGTGACTCTTGCCTTTCTTGCACTATATGCCATGACTTTCACCTGACAGTAATAGCCAATAATGGGCCAAAAGTACTGCTTCAAAATAGTGCTTAGAACTATAAACTGTCAATCTCCTGCTACAGGGAGGGCCACAGCGTGCCGGGAAGAGCTGCTAGCTCACTAGCTTCCAACACTGGTGCCCATGCTGACTTGAAGTACCACTTAACTCTGTGATGCCATTTTTGGAGGGGACAGTTTACTCTGCTAAAAAGCATCTGCAGTGATGGAATTGGGGTCTCTCGTCCTAGAGGTGGGAGTCTTGAATTATTAAGCACATTTAACACAAAGGGCAGCCTCATGGTTTTGTTTTCACCACTAACACATAGCTATGTACTATGAGAAAGAAGTGGGTGGTCCATCTGGTCCTGCACTCAGCCCTTTCTCCTATAGCTGACATTCTACACTGAGTTCCAGCTCAATCTTCCTTTCCGTCTCCCTCCAAAGGTCAAGATATCAAACAGGCAAATTAGTCCCATTTGTCAAACCTTCAGTTTTCCTCTATGTCTTAAATAACATCAGGTGACATGTCTATAAATGATTAGAGAGTATCGATACTTTATAGCTTTTGGATTCCCCCTCTCTGGCCCTGAGTGGGGTGCAGTCAGTATTAGCTGGATTTCTGTTACTTTTGTGCCTGGGGCTCCTGGTCCTGAGGCCTGAGACCAAGTGTGTCCAAATGGAGGAGAAGGTGGCACTGCTCGGTTGCAGAGGAGCCAGCAAGGTGTCTATGGCTTTTGCTGCCTCCCTTCCAGAGCTCACATGCAGCGGAGCTCAGACAAGATCCAGATCCCAAGACCAAGGAAGGCATCTCCATTTGTAGGGCTGAGTGCTGCAATTTTGGAAATATGTGCAATCATCCAGCAAAGGGTGTGGTGAGTTCTGAGCTGAGGTTGGCTCTGGGGTAGTCAACAGGAGCTAGCCGCCCAAGTCCCCATTACTAGATGAGTGGATAAACAGCTATGGTACATTTACACAACAGAATACTATTCAGACATAAAAAGGAAGAAAAATTTTGCCCTTTGTGACAGCATGGATGGACCTGGAGAACATTAAAGTGAAATAAGCCAGTGAAATATAAGCCAGTCAGAGAAAGACAAATACCATATGATTTCACTCATGTGTGGATTTTAATGAACAAACTGAACTAATAAGCAAAATAGAGACTCATAGAGAACAGGCAGACAGCTCTGGTGGAAGCGTGGGGGTGGGAAGGAGTGATTGATGAAAGAAAAAAAAAAGAACAAACTCATGGACCTGGACAACAGGACAGTGATTGGATGTGGAAGATGGTATAGGGAAGATAAAGAAACATGGAGGGAAAAAAAAATTCTGGAAAGGGAGATTCCAGAGTCAGGGCATCCAAGGGTGGGGTGGGTAGGGTAAGGAGTAAGGGTGAGGGTGATTCCAGGGGCTTAACTATCCTATCTGCTTAACAGGCTTCCAAGTCCTGGATAATTGTCTGCATATGGGAACTGAAGATATAAGTTGGTCCTAACTTACAGGCATTTTCATACTTTCATTCAAACCTATGCAATTTGGATGACAGTTCACATTAACTTTCAATATATTACCCAAAGGATGTGTTCAAGGGTATGCATGAAGACCCAAGTGGTTGCCTTCACTACTGAGTTGAAAATTTTTAAATATGTAAAAAATATTTTAAACAAAAATTTTCAAAGCCCCAGACCTTAAGATGACAACTAGTGCTGCTTATTTTTTTTCCTTTGAAAAATGCATACAAAATATAGACAATGGTTATAAAATGTAAGCTGAAATGGTTATTTGCTGGAACACAGAGTCCACCACAGGAACTGTACCATGAGAGCCTGAGTGCACTGAGTGACAGGAAGGGGGAGGGGAAGGAGCACTTGCAATGAATGACGTGAGCAGGAGGACTGTGTCACTGAGATGCAAAAGAAAATCGACAGTGAGGTTTTAAAAATGATGCAGTTTCAGAACCAAGTTGTTAACCACATTCAAACTACACACAATTTACACAAAAGGCCAAATTTGTACTTTCAGCTTTTTAAAATGTATGAGTTAGAAAATTAAAAGTTTAATTCCCTTTCTATCTACCCCCTTTTTTTAGTGTTAATAGAGAAAGATTAATTAACTCTCATTCTCAGGTCTTAAAAGCCTATGCATCATTTTTATGTTCAACAAAAGTGAATCATTTTTTACAAAACCATGGCATCCTGGCAAAGGTGCATCACTGGGGCGGCTGAAAATATATTGCCCATGGTTAACAAAAGCAAACAATTGGCTCGAGGAGTAATCAGGTGGCTCCGTTCCCCCCTTACATACTTCCAAGACCCAGTTGTAATTTGTGGCTGTTTTTGTGGCCAGAGCGATATGAGGACCAGGTTATCCCAAATAAGCAACTCCTTCTGAAGACTAACCAGGTTCTGACCACCCCACAGAAATCTTTCCCTTTTCTTTACCATCACCTCCTTTTCCTGCCTGCCAGTCTCCTCCCAGCACTCCCACCAGGCCCTCCTGGAGGCCACTCCAAAAGACCCACCATCCCTGCTCCACACTCTCCACCCACAACCCCGAAACCAGGAATGGCCTCTGGGAATCCCCAGGCCTTCCTTCTGGTGGAGGTGGCCTGTACCCCTCTTTCCCAGGGCCTGAGCGCAGACCAAGGCCACATGTTTGCCTACCTTCTGGCCGAGGAAGAGGCTCTTGGTGGAGAGAACAGTGAAGCCATCAGCGGGCGTGCCTTCGGTCGTGCTGTCGGCACTGGCTGCCTTGCTGACTTCTCCCTGCTTCTTCTTACACAAATAGAAGAGTCAGTATGTGGCCTGCACAGGCAAAGATGGCAAAAATGTGGGCTTTTCTAACAAAAAGGCAGCTCACAGGCCTTGCCCATAACACTTAAGAGAGAACAGGAAAATAAATCTCCAGCACATCTTAGCTTTTTTAAAATGGGGGCCACAGGCTTATTTTGAAGTACAAGAAAATGTTAAAATTGTATTTTTAGCACTTTATACTAAAAATTAGCTATTCAAAGGCAAAGTTTTACTGTGATAATTTAGAACAGAACCATTTTCATAGATTTAGACCAAGTAAATGTCTCTTGAGGGTCATCACTTTCTAGATGTCTGTACATTATTCAAGTATTAGGGGCAAAACAAATTGTTCTAGGTCATTAATTCTCAAAGAGCCAAAAAGTAGACCAAGGACCATAATCTTCCAACCCTCCCCAGCCCAGGAGGTAAGACTCTCCAACTCTCCATTAAAACCAGCCCTGGAGAGGATCCATAGGGTGCCTACTGGTGAACTCTGGAGACGCCACTCCCATCCCCTATAGTGTGCATGATCTTGGCATGCTCAGCATCATTCAATCTGAAATATGTATACTCTGGGGTTCCCAAGAGCCTTTCAATGTGTATGTTACATGGAGAAATTTAAATCCATTTCCAGATCCTCAATTTTCTAATGCACTTTCCCCCCCAAAAAAAGGTCTATGTCTAAGAGATCTATGCCTGTGGTCAAGGTTTCATGCTGGGTCTCCTTGTACAACCACGCTTCTCCCACTTCCCAGGCTCAATATTAACATGGCACACCCCTGGAGGAGGAATGCATGTCTTTCCAAGTCTTTTATATATTTTGGCTAAGGACAAGGATTGTATTTTAAAAAATTGATATTTTGTGTCAGTTGAGTTTTTGCATTCAGATATATTATAGAGTGAGGACAGTGGAAACAATGGAAACTTTTATTTAGACACTAAACCTTTTCCCTTCCCCTAATTATTATCAAAAAATATATCATTGCTGCTGGGACCGGTTTGGCTCAGTGGATAGAGCATTGGCCTGGGGACTGAAAGGTCCCGGGTTTGATTCCAGTCAAGGGCATGTACCTTGGTTACGGGCGCATCCCCAGTAGGGGGTGTGCAAGAGGCAGCTGATCAATGATTCTCTCTCACTGATGTTTCTAACTCTCTATCCCTCTCTCTTCCTCTCTGTGAAAAATCAATAAAACATATTAATATATATATATATATATATATATATATATATATATATATATATATATATATATATATATATATCACTGCCAAGGGAGAGTCCAGTGGAAGCAAATCAAAAAAGTAGAACTTCTCTGCTGTAGTCACTTTCAGTCCTCACAGTCTGTCATATTAAGGGTCAATCCAACCCACTGATGTGCCAACAGCAATCAAGGCTCAATTACAACAGGAGGATACAAAAAACCCACACAAGGACACCTGGCTCACATGATCAGGGAGACAGTGCCACTGGGCCCCACAGGACGGTTACTAAGTAAGGCCACTCTGCCAAGACTGGGAGATACAGGAGATCTACTTAATACATAGACACAAATGAGAAGGAAGACAATATGAGAAGACAAATATGTCCCAAATGAAAGAATAGGCAAAAGCTACAGAAAAAGAGCTAAATGAAATGGAGGCAAGCAATCTATCAGATACAGAGTTCAAAATACTGGTTAATAAGGATGTTTAATGAACTTAGGAGAAAAATGGGTTAACTCAGTGAAAACTTACATAAAGAGATAGAAACTGTAAAGGAAGAACCAGTTAGAAATGAGGAATATAACTGAAATGAAGACTTCATTAGATTGACTTAAAAGCAAATTATATGAAGCAGAAGATCAAATCAGCGATCTGGAAGACAAGGTAGCAGAACACTCCCAATCAAAACAGTAAAAAAAAAAAAATATTATAAGGATACTTTAATAAACCTCTTGACATCAAGCATACCAACATTTTCATCACAGGAGTACCTGAGAGAAAAGCAAGCAAGAAAGTGAAAAGCCTATGTGAAAAAATGACTGAAAACTTCCCTAACCTGGTGAAGGAAACAGACATATAAAGCCAGGAAGTGAGGAGAGTCCCAAACAAGGTGAACCCCACACCAAGACACATCATAATTAAAATGTCAAAGGTTAAAGATAAAGAGAAAATCTTAAAAGCAGCAAGAGAAAACCAATTAGTGATATACAGGCATCTCCCATAAGACTGTTACCTCATTTCTCAACAGAAATTTTGCAGGCCAGAGGGATTGGCATGAGTTATACAAAGTGATGGAAAGCAAGGACGTACAATCAAGATCACTCTATCCAACAAGGCTATCATTTAGAATTGAGAGAGTAGAGTTTCCCAGACAAGAAAAAAAATAAAAGTTCATCACCACAAAATGATTATTACAAGAAATGTTAAAGGGACTTCTTTTTAAAGATCAAAAATATGAATAAGAAAATATAGGAAAGAAAAATTTTCACAAAGGCAAACACATAATAAAAGCAGTGGATCAACCAACTATAAAGCTATTACAAAGGTTAAAAGGCAAAAGTAAGATCATATGTAATTACAACAATAAATTAAGTGATAGACATATACACACACACACAAACATGAAGTAAAAAATAAAGACAGAAACATAAACATGGAAGGGTAAGTATTCTGGTGCTTATAGATCATGTTTAAATTTAAGCAACCAACCAAAAATAGACTGCTATAAACATAACGTTTTATATAGGAAGCACATAGTAACCACAAACCAAAAATCCACAAGAGATGTAAAAATATAGAGTTAGGAATCCACATACACTAAAAAAATTCATTAACATACCAGAAGATAACAAGAGAGTAAGAAAGGAAGAGAAAAACTACAAAAACAATTTTTTAAAATTGTTTTTTAAAAACAAAATGGCAAGAACTACATACCTATGAAAATAAAGAGATGAAAAGTATTTCATGCAAATGCAAATTTAAATGAATGAACATAAAGGAAAAGACTGATATAATATAGTCATAGTAGTTGATATCAGTTGGTAATATAGTCAGTAAACCTACCTAGAGAGTAATATACAAGTTGACTGTAACTCTGCTACACTCACAAGCCATGCCCACCAGCCAGTCAGGAGCCAGTATGCAAATTAACCCAACCAAGATGGCTGCAGCCACAGAGGGTTGGGTTGCCCCTGGCAATGGAAAAAGCCAAGCTGTCCACCTGCCCTGACAGGCCCAGGCCTCCATTTAAGGCTACAAAGTTTCAATTATAGAAGATAAATAAATCCCAACAAAAATGGCTGTGGCCATGGAGCAAGCAGGAGGCTTGGCTCTACTCAAAGCTATGAAGTTTCAATTGTATAAAGATAAATAAATCCCAGATACCAGGACCTCCGTTTGGATAGCCAGGGTGTGTGGTCAGCCTGCAAACCATCACAGGCCCCTCGCCTAGGCCACCCCATGCCCCAAGGGAACCCCCATCCTGATCCAGGACACACTTCAGGGCAAACCAGCCGGCTCCCACCCATGTACCAGGCTCTATCCTATCTAATCCTATCTAATAAAAGGATAATATGCAAATTGATAATCACTCCAACACACAAGATGGCTGTCCCCATGTAAACACAAGATGGCCATCACAAGATGGCCAGCAGGGGAGGGCAGTTGGGAGGGACCAGGCTGGCAGAGGAGGGAAGTTGGGGGGCGACCTGGCCTTCCGGGAAGGGCAGTTGGGGGGGGGATCTAGGCCTGCAGGGGAGAGCAGTAGGGGAGAACCAGGCCTGCAGGGGAGGGCAGTTAGAGGTGACCAGACCTGCAGGGGAGGTCAGTTTGGAGTGACCAGGCCTGCAGGGGAGTGGTTAGGGGGTGATTAGGCTGGCAGGCAGATGCAGTTAGGGACAATAAGAAAGACAGGCAGGTGAGTAGTTGGGAGCCAGCAGTCCTGGATTGTGAGAGGGATGTCTGACTGACTGTTTAGACCCAATCCTACCAGGATCGGGCCTAAGCGGGCAATCCAACATCCCCTGAGGGTTCCCAGATTGGAGAGGGTGCATGCTGGGCTGAGAGACATGCCCCCGCCCCCATGCACCAATTTTGGGCACTGAGCCTCTAATACTGTAATAACTATGTATAGTGTCAGATAGCTCCTAGGCTTATTCAGATGATCATTTCATAAGTTATATAAATGTCTAATCACTATATTGTACAACTGAAACTAATGTAATATTGTAGGTCAACTAATTGAAAAAAAAAAAAAAAACTTTCAAAAAAAGTAGGAGGAAAGACATATTACAGATGGCCATGCCTTCCTGCAGGATGAGTCTGGACAGTAAACTCAGGGTAAGACCTATACCCTATCCATTTGCCTATTTAGTATTCAAATTCATTAACACATTAATGTTTTTGTTTACATTAAAAAATAGGTTTACCTGGCTGGAGTGGCTCAGTGATTGAGTGTCGACCTATGAACCAGGAAGTCACAGTTAGATTCCCAGTCAGGGCACATGCCCTGGTTGCAGGCTTGGTCCTCAGGAGATAGCCAATCAATGATTCTCTCATCATTGATGTTTTGTTTTTGGTTTTATCTTTCTCTCTCTCCCCTTTCTCTCTGAAGTGTGTGTGTGTGTGTGTGTGTGTGTGTGTGTGTGTGTGTGTGTATATATATATATATATATATATATATATATATATATATATATATTTTGACCAATTGTGTATATATATCAAAAGTCTAAGCGATGGGACCAAATGACTGGAATGACCAGATGACCGGCAGTAGCTATGTTGCACACTGATAACCTTGCTGCTGGGGCCCTGACAACCCCGAATATGGTTCACCCGCACCCTGGACCCATACAGGAAGAAAAAGGGAGCCCAATTTTTTGCAGAATCGGCCATTGGTTAGCTTGCTGCTGGGGCCCTAACAGCCCTGAATATGGTTCACCCACACCCCGGATCCAGACAGCAGGGAGGAGGGAGACTGATTTCTTGAGGAACTGGTC